TACGAGGGGTTGTCAATCCCTCCTCGGTATTGAGATAGATTAAATTGTATAGGATTGGATAAATAGATCTGAATAAAGAAACAAAAAGTGCAGCAAGGTATTTTTGAATTTTTGGAATCATAGATCTAAAAACAATATGATAGAAAATAGATCCGGGGGCTATAGGTTTCACTAGTGGCTTCTCTCGACAAAATAACATACAGTGGGTAAACAAATTACCGTTGGGCAATTGATAGAAGAGCAAATAAATTATGACGATATCCAAGGCAATGATCCTGTATATAGGCATCACGTCCAAGATTAGTAGACCGACTCCTGCCTACGTCTACTACTATTACTCCACACATCGACCGCTATCCAGCATGCATGTAGTGTATTAAGTTCATGGAGAAACGGAGTAATGCAATAAGAACCATGACATGATGTAGACAAGATCTATTCATGTAGGAATAGACCCCATCTTTTTATCCTTAATAGCAATGATACATACGTGCCTCGCTACCCCTTCTGTCATTGGGTGAGAACATCGCAAGATCAAACCCATCAGAAAGCACCTCTTCCCATTGCAAGAAAAATCAATCTAGTTGGCCTAACTAAACTGAAGTTTCAGAGAAGAAATACGAGACTATAATAATCATGCATATAAGAGATCAAAAAAGACTCAAATAATATTCATGGATAGAACTGATCATAAACTCGCAATTCATCAAATCCCAACAAACACACCATAAAAAGTCATTACATCAAATAGATCTCCAAGAACATTGTATTGGGAATCAAAAAGAGAGAAGAAGCCATCTAACTACTGCCTACGGGCCCGTACGTCTGTGGTAAACTACTCATGCATCATCAGAGGAGCACCAATGAGGATGATGAACCCCTCCGTGATCATGTTCCCCTCCGGCAAGGTGTCGGAATAGGGCTCTAGATTGGATCTCATGATTCTCGAACTTGCGGCAGCTGGGATTGTCTTTCGTTGACTCTTCTAGGGTTAATGGAATATTTGGGAATTTATAGAGCTGAGAGGCATGGGAAAGGACTCCCGTGGGCCCCACCACCCACCTAGGTGCGCCCTGGTGGGTTGTGGTCCCCACGGGCCTCCCCTCTGGTGCTTCCTTGGCTGCCAAGTTGTCTTTTGGCCAGAAAAAATCTCCAAAAAGTTTCATGGCATTTGGACTTCATTTGGTACTGATATTCTGCGAAGTAAAAAACAAGCAAAAAACAGCAACTGGCACTGGGCACTATGTTAATAGGTTAGTCCCAAAAATTATATAAAGTTGCTATAAAATAAATGTAAAACATCCAAGAATGATAATATAACAACATGGAACAATAAAAAATTATAGATACGTTGGAGACGTATCAGCATCCCAAGCATAATTCCTTCTCGTCCTCGAGTAGGTAAATGATAAAAACAGAATTTTTGATGTGGAATGTTGCCTAACATGTTCATCACATATTCTTTTCTTTTGTAGCATGGACATTTGGACTTTTAGATGGTTCAAAGCAATAGTCTATATTTGACATGAAGACTTCAATACTCAAGCGTATCAATAAGCAACCATGGCTTTCAAAATATCAACACTAAAGAAAGTTATCCCTAGCCCATCATGCTCAATCATTGATCCATTCATGAAACTCACTCGAATATTAGCTACATCCAATGCATAAGAATGATCATAGTGCTCCCTAGTTGGTGCTTTATAAGAGAAGTCGGAGACTCAAATAAAAATAAAATTTGCATAAAGTAAATAGATAGGCCCTTCGCAGAGGGAAGCAGAAATTTGTAGAGGTGCCAGAGCTCAAAGCTTAAATTGAGAGATAAAATATTTTGAGAGGCATGCTTTTCCCGTCAACAAAAACGATCGAGTGATTCCTAATACTTTCCTAGATACATCATAGGTGGTTCCCAAACATAAAATAAAGTTTATTCCTTTTTCCACCATTCTTTTACAATCCATGGCTAGCCGTATCCACGGGTGCCTTCCATACCAACACTTTCCAAGGAATTTATTATTTGACAACATAAAGTAATTTTTTTCATTTCGGGAATGGGCATCCCTATTACCGCCACACTCTCGTGCAATGACAAGTGAATAAACACTCATCTTGAGAATAACACATCTAGCATGGAAAAATATTGGCCACCCCCTGCCGCTTCATGAGTGGTACGGTCACACAAAAAGATAATTCATTTTGAAATTAGAGATGGCACATACAAACTTACTTAGAGCGGCATGGAAATACCGCATATAGGTAGGTATGGTGGACTCAAATGGCATAACTGGGTTTAAGGATTTTGGATGCACAAGTAGTATTCCCACTTGGTGCAAGGAAAGGCTAGCAAATAGATTGAGAAGCAACCAACCAACAAATGAATTTTTTCATAAACGGGCATTAAGCATAACTAACACCGAATAATGCACCACAAGTAGGATGTAATTTCATTGCATAACTATTGACTTTTGTGCTTGCATAGGGTATCACAAACCTTAACACCAATATTCTTACTAAAGCATAATTACTCACCAACATGACTCACATATTACTATCATCATATCTCAAAACTATTACAAAGAATAAAGTTTATAATGTCCAATGATCTTCATGAAAGTTTTTATTATATCCCTCTTGAATACCTATCACTTTGGGACTAATTTCATATATTACCATTGCTTATAACAAGCTCTCAAACAAATTTAAGTGAAGAACATGAGCATAAAATTTCCATCTCTCAAAATAATATAAGTGAAGCATGAGAGAATTTCTTCAAAAATTTAATAACTCTCAAAATCTAAGTGAAGCACGAGAGTATTTCTTCAAAAATTAAAGCACCACCATGCTCAAAAATATATAAGTGAAGCACTAGAGCAATTCCAAAGCTCAAAAATTTGAAGTGAAGCACATAGAGCAATTCTAACAAATCTGTAGGGGAAAACAACACCTAGGGGACCATGCAGATCCCTTCTACGGTTTGGCAGGGAAGAGGGGTACAGCAAAGAGCAAATTTAATGGTCAACACGACGGGTCTTTACCCGGGTTCGGGCCGCTCGGGAGAGTAAAACCCTAGTCCCGCTTCAGTGTATATTATGTGTTCTTGAGCTTCGGCTAGCCGCTGTGCATGTGAGCTAGGCCGAGTGGTTCAAAAGTTCGAATCCTCCTCCAGTACGCCGCGGGACTCCTTTTATATGTCAAAGGGGCTGCCACAATGGCATACATGAGGTGTAAAGCAGCTACAGTGTTTATGCTTATCACCGGCGTCTTAGGACAAACGCATTAAATGCGTTACTTATGTGCCCTTCAGCTTTATCGGGGACGGGAATAGAACCCGTCCCGTCCATCGCCGCCCCGCTCCGTCTTGACACGCGTCCATGCCGACAAGGCATGCAGTTCAAAGTTGGCTGGCCAGCTGCTGCGCTGGAGAGGTGGCAGGGTCTTCACGAAGATCTGCATGCTGCCACGTAGGCACCTGCTAGGCTGGCAAGTCGGCCACTACGCTGGAGTGGCGACGGGGTGGCGGAGTCTTGCCGCGGTCTTGCCGATGTCCCCGGCAAGGATCTTGCCGGGGCCTCACCGACGTCCTTCAACAAGGATCTTGCTGGGTACTTTGTCTTCTGGCCTTCACAATGATCTGCACGCCACTACGCGCGCGCCCCTGGGTCTTGGCCTTGACGTTGTTGATTGTGTCAGAGCTCTCAACCTCAATGGTGGTGCTCTTGCTAGTGCTATTTAAGTCGCCCTGGCAAGGATCTTGCCGGGGTCTCGCAAACCGTCCCGATAAGGATCTTGCCGGGGGTCCAACTTGTCCTCTGTTTTCTGGTCTCTGGTTTGGCTGTTTCTCCATCGTCTTGCATATACCCCAGCTTCTCCCGTCAGCCCGTGCTACGGGTGTGGCTGCAACTTCCCATGCACAAGTAAGGGGTACAAAAAGAATCCAAACTTTAGTACACCAACAGGAGCCCCCGGGCCTGGGCCACACACGAGTGCGAAGTGTCATTGGGCCAGGCCCAAACAGTGCGCGGGCACGCGTGGCAGGGGATAACTGCGGTAATCTTCTCGTCTGTCGTGCTTGCAGCGGTCCATGTATTTAAAACAAAACGGAAGCTAGCGAACTCGTTCCCAGGAAGCTCCCTCGATGGCAAGCTTCGTTTTAGCCGTTCGATTTTGGTCAACGCGGTCTTTTTTCTCACTCCTGTCCGTTGGATGTTCGCTGTAAATTGTTCGCTGGGTTTTCACCGGATGATAGATCTTGAACGGGAGATGACATGTGGGGCTCGGGCTGGATCCAATTGGCTGGGTGCCAATTTTTTGGGTGCGCGGGGCAGCCAAACCTGCCGCGCCGCGTGGGCGCGCTTTGTGTCGCGGGGGAGCCGCAGAAGGGTTAGTCGGTGCATGTGCACCCGTCTTTTGCGCCCGCGCTTGTGCTGTCTTCATGACGGGTGGGCCAGTGCTGCCCCCGGTCCCGCTCATCAGCTGCGGTGGCTCATGTCTCATAATATAGGGTATTTCCTGGGTACCTCGGTCAACCACGGCCGGCGCGGCGCTCCTCCCGCGCTTCCCGCGTCCTGCGTCGCGGGGAGTTTCTGTGTCCTGCGTCAGCTGCAGAGGGGCAGAGGGGTGGGTCGACACATGTGCACTCAGATTATGCATACGCATTTGTACTAGCGCGATGACGGGTGGGCCGCCGCTGTTCTGGTCCCGCTCGTCGGCTGCTACTTCTGTGTCTCTCGTCTGCATTTGCAGTTGGAGAGAGAAGATGGACTGCAGCTACCCGATGCATCGTGTGTGCCTCACCTCCATCTGCGCACTTGGACAGAGAGATGGACTGGCGCCTATGACGCCCTGGTCGACTCCGCGGCCGTCGCCGTCCGTGAGCCCGGGTGCACGGTGGCGCTCACAGACCTCCACCGCTGCGTTGACGCTTCAGCGAGTCCTGCGACCGAGCCGAGGGCCTCGTCCAGGTGGCCGCCGCCGGCCTCGGCCCCGCGCCTCCCGCCACAATGAGCTGTTCCGCGTGCTCTTGGACCTCCACCGCTGCCTCGACGCCTTCAGCGAGTCCCGCGACCGAGCCAAGGGCCTCGTCCAGGCGGCCGCCACGGCCCCGCCGCCTCCCGCCACGACAAGCTGTTCCGCGCCATGCGCGTGGTCGACAAAGATCTCTGGGCCGCCGCTGCCGGCTGGGAGAAGAATCGCCCTCCGACCACGCCGCTGGCAGCCGAGGACAAATAGCCCAATCGATCTACCTCGTCTCCTATTCAGGTGATGTTTATCATTCTTGTTTTTTTCATGTGATGTTCATCGTTCCTCTTATTTTCTCGGTTGATGTGCTAATCATGTTAGTCAAAGATGAACGTAACTGTGACGGGAAAGGAGAGATGGACCGGGATATTTTGCCTCGGTGTGTCGCATGGTGGCCGAGATGCGGCAGCCCCATGCTCTGTTCTGATGGGCCTCCTCTGCTCGATGGTTGCCGCTGGTTGAGGTTCGTCCTTCTCTGGTTCGGATGTTCTTCGCCACTGTTTTGGATTCGTCCTGCTAATTTCGCATGTTTGCCTTCGTTTCATTCATGCGCAGTTTGGTACAGTTTCCTGTTGTCGCTTGCATCGAGCCCGGGGTCCATCTCTCCTTCTCATTGAGGTTAGTCCACTCCTCTTGTGCTTGCCTATAGGATGTTTGATGAAATGCGTGTGTGCTGACGCTTGTTCTACGATTCAGCCTACTTCTCCTATCGCTGGCGCTTCTTCTTCTTGTCCGTCCTGTTGCTTAACCAACGTGCTTCTGCTTGCTGCCTCAGGTAAATAGGCTGTTCTGTTGCTTTTGTGATCGGTGACTGTTCATTGCATGCCTATGTGTCGTTGTGCTCTGACCGGCTGTTTTTTGTGTATTCCGCAGGTTGTACGATCTCTTCTGTCGCTGCGTAGTTCGACTCATCAAGGTTTTCTTCTTTCCTTTCTACTACATGTGTGTGTTATACTTTCAGTATCTTCTATGTCATGTCTGCCTTGGTAGTCTTTTAAATATCTGTATGTCGTGCTGATCGTTTAAATGTTCCGGATATGGTCGGGCGTTGTGTGTTGTTCTTTCTCGTGCTGCTTATATTTCGTGTATGCGTGTGAGCAGGATGTGTATGCCTGTTTCCGTTGTTATACCAGTTTTGGAGGCCGTGGTAACTCGATGCCCCCCACGCTCACTCTTCCTGTTGTACACACAAGCATATTTGTCCAATTCTCAGACTAAGTTTTTGAAAGAAACCGCAGTTCATTACAACGCCAATTATGGATATGGATCCATATTGCTGCGCTGGATGAAGGACTGGATGTAATAAGAATTGCATGTGACAAATAGGTGCCTCCTCTATGCATAACTTTTTGCTAATATCATTGAATTTCTCCTGAGATCCCTCTAGACCTTTCCAAATGTATTTTAGTTAGGTGTTTGTATTAACTAGCAGAAGAAGGGATGCAAATGGAAAGAATTTGAGATGCATAAACATAAAAGCACTAAAAGATTTGCTTGAAGCAAAGATGTCTAGCCGGCATACATATGGCAAGAACCTTCAGAGATTGACTTCTTTTCAGCTGCTATTCAGATATATACTTGCTCATAGGTCACAACTCATGAAGTTACTTCTTTTGGTTTTGATTTTGAAATATATGTGTCATAGGTCACGACTGATGAAGTTACTTCCTTTTGGTCAAGGTCTGAATATCATCAGGATCTTGGCTGAGAGGCTGACATTTCGGAAGGTTCTCGTCTATATAGATTAGTTGATAGGATGACAGTTTAAGTTTATTGAAGCTCTTCTTTAGGAGGCGGAGTTCTGCTTTGGTTTCTTGCTATTTGCAGTTCGATGCATGTGGTATCCCATATGAAATTCTACAATTTGTTTTAGCTTTTGTAGTTTTCTATTCATTATCCCTACCCATTGTGATATGTATGTTTATATGCTTCATGGATAGCGGGATTTAATATCACTTGCTTCTCAGTCTTCTCCACCCTCGACATGCGTAGGCCAAAAAGGCGGAGACGAGTCATGATCCTCCAGGCTATGGCTGCTGGTTGCAGACAACGTTTAAGCACAGGAATCGCAAGTTGTGCCCCATGAGGCCAGCGACCCCCATGTGGCCAGCAACTAAAGGCCAGATTCATTCTCGTTGAATGTAACCTGCCTGGCAGTAAATTAGTGTCACATTGGTAGTTTTTGATCTTTTAAAATTTGATTAACTAATTTGGGCTCTAACAGATTCTGTAGTTGTCTGTTGTTTCTTATTTGCAGGTTATCTTTAGCTTGGACGAAAATGAATGGACGAGCTTCAGTATGACGAGGAGAAAGCAATCTTGTTCAGTTTTCATCAAAACAGATGAAGGACAACCATGTAAAAGGTAGAGATGTTTACGGAAGAACCAACATCGCTTAGACTAGCGAGTTACAATTTGTTTTTTGTAGTGGGCATTAGCAAAATATGAATGTGAATATGACAGTACATAGTTTATGATATTTGACTGTATGTCATCACCTAAATTATACCAATCCAGCGGAATAACCCAACAACCATTTAGATTATGCTACTTTCGACCAAAAATAATTATTGACATGTATATATATGAAGACCAATGTCATGTATTTTACTTTGAAGTATAAACTAACAGTAAAAGATGAGATAGAGGCCAGGATAATAACAGCAAAAAAGATCAATGCACATATCTGAGAATTTTTATTTGCAGGCTGGGATTCTGTACATTGATATGATGTATAAGAAAGAAATAATTTATTTACTTATTTGTAGATCAGCCTTTTAGTATAGGACTGTGATTTCCAGCAAAAAAAAGTATAGGACTGTGATACTTCAAGATATTCATGAAAACAAGTATTTGATATGTTCACATCTACATGCTCATGTGTGTTTCATCTTTTTCCATGATCAAATAAAGATATATATGTGGTTTTTGATATGTGCCGAGCATGTTTTGATAGGATATTTTCTATGGTAATGTTGAAATGAAGATATATTGCTTTTAAGAAAGGAGCACTATGAAGTATTGAAGCGAGCTGAATAATGTAAAAAATATCACAGGATGAAACATTAGCTGGTGCCATCCAAACACTATTATGTACCTTCAGCAGTAATGGATCATTCGCTTTGCTTGGTTAACCTTGCAACTAAATCTGTAAGATGACTTTGAAGTTTACTTTGTACCTAACAAAAAAATCATCCATTTTTTAATTGATCAGACAACAGTTGTTTTATGTCTACATGTCCTTTTTTTGGTACTCAAATATATTGATTGGCGTATCCTCTTTTTCAGCTTCAACATTTGGCTAATTCTGGTTTTTGGTAATGCTTTCTTGACAGTGGAGCAGTCATGGGCCTGTTATAGAGATCTTGGTGAAGAACTCGTCACTGCAATTTTGTCAAATGGGTGTTGAGATTGAAGTTTCTGCTTTTGTTGACTTTCTGATAAATTACAACAACATCGACAAGGTAAAGTTATGATTCCTTGCTGTCCGATGTATCATGTTTTTTATGGTAAAGGAATAACAATTTATATGTGTGTAGGTTATGTGGGAGCCTTTCATAGAGCCCTCATATATTTAGTTAAATATACTTTGAAATATGCTGATCATGCACTGGATGTATCTCCCAGTACTATGTGTTGCTAAATTCAAGCAAGCAGCTTAATGTTAACATATCAGAGCCCTTGATCGAGGTACATGATCTTGGCATACTGTATTTTCCAAACTTGCCAAGAGATAAATTATTGTTCTGTCCTATCTTCAAGTGATTAACATGAGTAGTTTCCTGCTGCCACTATCATCTTGATTAATGTGATTCAGGAATCAAGGCAGTGGTCTGCAGATAGAATGTAGCTACATATCTTATTTCAGGGAGCATTACACCTATTTAGCTTAGAAGTTTTTTTCTTATATTAAACTCAGCAGTGTGTGATAATTCGAGCCTCCATGGAAGCATCAACCGGATCTGGCCGGCCCACATACGCATGCCTCCTCTTTCCCCGGTGGCTCATGGAAGCGGCGGCGTACGATGATGGCTTCCATATGGAGCAGAGGAATCACAATAGGTATGGCCTGTTCGTCCAATCTTTCTCCCCCCTCCAGTCTTGATTTCTGTTGTTTTCTTCCTGCTTAGCTATGCAAGATTAGTGCAATGTGCAATATGCTTTTAGTTGGTCGATAGTGCTTCTGTGCTATTAGAAACTAAATGAAACTATTATCTCGTGTCATTGAAAACCATAGAGTGCGCTAGCAGTACTCAAAGTTCCTTATAGAATTATATTGGATGCTATGGTAAGAGATTTAGAATTACCAAAGGCTGATTATCGTGTACAAGTATGTGATGCCAACAAAATATGCATTACAATTTATTTTCATATATCTATGATGTACCCTGGAAATGAAAATGCGTATATGGCTATACATAGAGTGCACTCCGGGATGAAGATATGTCACTGATTTGTCCATGGCCATATCTACATTTGTTACTTTAATTTCTATACATGTATTGATATTCTTGCTAGGAGATGTCCCCTTTGTTATTTATAGTAGCATGATTCGAAGCAGGAAATAAAAATGTGATTGAATTATGATGTGGCTCTTAAGAAAATACGTGAATGGGATAATAACTGTGTATATTTTTTTTTGCGGGTGAAGCTGTGTATATGGTTATTAATGCAATAGTATGCAACAATGCAACTAAGCCATGACGAATGTGGAGTTTTATTTCTTCTATGCTTGTACCCATACAAATGCAGAATTGTTTACTTTGATGGTTTAACACATGTAGTAAGGAAAATGCATTAATCTTTTGTCTTTTTAGCAGATAGTTCTTATGTTACATGTCCAAAGGAGAGCATTGTTTCACGGAAGCATGGATTACACCCACGCCAGTGACCAGTGAAGAAAGGGCTCATGAACAAGATAAAAAAATTTCAACCATCTTTTGTTTACAAGGAAAGACGTTTTTTGTTAAATTAGTCTTGTCGACTTCCGTCTGTGTTATCGTATTCTACCTCTTCTATTATATCCAAATTACTATATGATGTAATTGACCACTCTTATTAAGAATTGGGCACAGTGATTTATGCTATCATTATCTTAAGTAAGCATTATTGTGTCACTTGAGTGTATTGGATCTGTTAATTGCTGACTCATTCCTAAGTACTTTTTCGCTAGCAACTCTTAAGTCAACATCATATTCTCCTAAATTAAACAAAAAAAACATGGTTTGAAAAGTTTAATGTTTCTAAGCATTGATTTTATCATCTTGCAAATGATCGAGAATATTTCTATATTGATTCACAACACTTCACAAATAGATGTGAACATTAACATGTAATTCACAACATATATATACATCTATGTTCTAAATAGAACTCTATGCTATCAAATTTAAATGTGTATATACATCTATTGTACTCCCTCCGTTCTTAAATATAAGTCTTTGTAGAGATTCCACTAGATGGACTACATACGGAGCAAAATGAATGAATCTAAACTTAAAATACATCTATATACATCCGTATGTGGTTTATAGTGGAATCTCTACAAAGACTTACATTTAGGAACGGAGGGAGTAGACAGCAAGCCCCCGCTTTCCTCAACAAAGAAAGATTAAAT